GGGGGAAGAAATGGTTCCCCTCGGTGCTGCCGCGGGTCCTCCCGCCCGCCTGGGGGCGCCCTGGCGCGGCGCTGTCCCGGCCCCGTCACGCGCGCCAATGGTGTCGGAGCGCTGAGGGCGGCGCGGAGGCCGCGGCCGGGCCGGGCCGTGTGAGGGGACCCGGGGGCTCTTCGCCGTCCCCTTCCCCGTCCCCTCGGCAGCGCTTCCCTGCGGGAACCCCCGGGCATGGAGCTCGCTGGCCCTCCCGTGAGGGAGCTGAGGTGAGCGGTGGGCGCGGAGGGGCAGCGGGTCTGAGGGCAGCTCCTCCGAAAAGTGTAGCCAAGCGGTTACGTAAATTAGCCGAGAATTAGCGAAACTTGTGTTTGTGCTTATTAGCCGGGGGGAGGGGGGGTATCACAAAATTGGCGGCGTTGCGCAGTCATATGAAAGAGAGGAGAAAAGCCGATTTTCTGTTTTGGGAGGCCGGTGCTGGGGTGGTTCAGGGAGGCTTATGGGGCATTGCTGGGTCCCCGGGGCTCCCCAGAGCCCTCGTTGTGTGTAATGAGGGCACGGGCGTCTGCGCTACATTATGGACATTATCTGTCCCTAACGTACCGGGCGTCTCGAACTTGTCGCTTTTTGTGAGGAAGAAGGAGCTTGAGTAGATCTTTGGCTTCTGCTTTCACGATGTTTGTATGTTGTGTTTTCCCCCTGTCAGTAAGCGATGTCCTGCAGGCTACAGAAACCTGCTTAGAGGGTGGTTGGGTGACTGTGACACGAAAATTAAAAACACCAAACCAACAAGCACTAGCATTTGCTCAAAGATCCTAAAAATCATCTGAAGGTGGTATTATAAACACTCTGACCCTAAAAAATTCTCTACTGTTGAATCATTTGAGGAGTCGGTGACTCTTAAATAACTTCAGTACGTTGCTTGTATTTAGGACAGTGTTTGCAGAAAGTGCACTGAAGCTTTGCTCCAGTGGGACTGGGAGCTTCCAGGATGGTTTCATAGAATCACAAGATGGTTTGGCTTGGAAAGACCTTTAAGATCATGTCCCAAACCCCTGCCATGAGTAAAATCCTCCCTGTGGTACAAGCTGTGTTTGTGACATCAGGTGGAAATGGGCATCACTCAAATCCCCCCTCCTGACTGTGGGCAGTGCTTGTATGGCCCCACAGTGAAACTGCATAATTAAGGATGTTCTTAAAAATTTTACAAGTGTTTTTGCTTTTGGTGTAAATTCTGCCCCTGCAGTCTGTGTTCTTATCGGTACTGTAGTCACTGGGCACTTTGAAGAATTGAATTTCTGTCAGTAATGACTGATGGCTTCAATATTATTTCAGTTTTGTTTAATCAGGTAATTGTCTTACAAAATTAGTAACTGGAGAGTGTTCCCAAGTGATACTCTGATGGCAGAATTAGATCTGCAGTGTACCTACATTTTTTTTTTTTCCCCTGTAAACTCATTTTAGAATAGCTTTTAACTGACTTCAGCATAGTCTTACAAAGAGAAACTGTTAGTGAGGGAAATTATGGATCATTTCAGTGTGGTATGCAAGGTCACTTTCCAGCTCTTCCACATACATTGTGTGTCACCTTGAGCTGATTGGGGGATAAAAATACAGTCTTAATAATGGATATATTGGTGGGATTCACTATCTAATTATCAATGTTTATAAGGCCTTTAAGATGGATGGAAAATTAACATTTATTGTATTTTTAAGTCAGTCTGACATGTAGCAAGACTGATGGTTGAGTGAATCTCTTTTTATGAGCTCTGACATTGAAATCACCACCTTGTAAAGAAACCAACAGACGAGTTCTATGACCTGCAAATGTTTCTGACAGTGCTCAGGAGGAGCAGTAACTTTGCTTGGTTTTGGTCAGAAGTTTGTATGTTTGGGAGCCGAGGATTATATTTCTTCTTGCCTACAGACAGGCACATGATCGATTCAAATCAACAATAAATTCTTTTAAATCTTGAGCTTATATAATTAAACCACATTAAATCTATTATGAAGAAACAATTCCCTGTGTGTGGTAGGACGTGATTGCAGCTTTTGTAACAACCCAGTGAGCGCGGTGGCAAGGCCAGAGGGTTTTTTTTTTTCCCAGCGTCGCTGCACCTACATTTGTCCTTTTGTGTTAGAAGCGATGCTGAATTCCACTTGGTTTTTTTATGCACTTGGGATTTTAATGGGCCAGTCCTTCCGAGGGCAGGTTTGATTTTGAGCAGATGGCATCCCTCAGCGGCGAGGATGCGTCTCAGCATTGCGAGGGGCTCTCCCTGAACGATCTGGAAAGCCCGCACAACTTCCGCAGCCGCTCCGGCAGCGTCGGCAGCACAGGCTCCAGCGGCCGCCTGCAGCTCCGGCAGAGAGTAGCCCACCTCATGGCCTGTGTGGAGGACGTCAGCTCGGACGATGAGATCCACAAGGAAGTGTCTCGCACCCTAGATGAAGCTTTCCTCATCTGCGGGAAAAAGCTGAAGTGGCAAGAGTTCAGGTTTTGTTCCCCCCCCCCCAGCTGGTTGTTTCTTCTGGCGGCGTTGGGGTTTTTCTTTTAGGCTTAGCTGGCAAAGAGGTTTCTGAGTGATGAAAAGTGACAGAAAATCTTTGTTTTCCGCAGGCAGGAATTCTGTGGGGAAATCAGAGCGTTCTTAGGGTTGGTTGCCTGTCCACGCTTCAGTTTTAGCAATGCTTTTGTGTGATTTTTGTTTGTTTGTAGACTACACTTAGTTACCTGGAATGTGGGCACAGCTTCTCCACCTCCGGATGTCACTAGTTTGCTTCAGCTCAATTCACTGGGCCCGACT